TACAAAAATTCGGTGTCTAATGCCATGCTAGGGTCTGCATTTGGCAGGGCCTGATAGGCTAGTGATGAGGTAGTATGACAATACTGCCCTATAGGAATTTTCATGATGTATGCGTGATCCCCTCGTGGACAGGACCAGATGGGGCATAGTTAGTGTGAAACAGTTGTGTTTTATTACCTTATGTTTTCTTTTTCTCTTGCCTCTAAGACCGGTCAAGCTACGGTCAAATGAGGCTTATCTGTAAATGCAGCTGGGCACTATCTAGTCATGCTCACCTCCCTATTTTCTGGTGCCTCTGAGTTCCAGGATGCCTGTAAGGTCAAATTCCATTCACAAAAAACTGCATTGTGCTTCCCATGCTCCTCTGAGTATCTGGGTTTTGTGTGAGGGGCCTTGTGTGGCAGGATGGGCTATACGCGAAGGTCGTGGACAGAAAAAGTCTGCTTTACAACAAGCTATTGCATTGCTCACCTGCATCTTCTCAAAATCACCTTTTTCTGAAGTGTTTGTCATATCTCATAGGCTCTTAATTCTTTTTCATTTCAGGAGGAAGTAGCTGCAGAGAGGAGAAAGCAAGCTGTAGTAGAGCAAGTGATGGTGGATCAGCTATCTAGGTGAGAGAATATACAAAATATAATTACAAGTTAACTCTGTAGAAGAGTCAACTATATGAAAGTGTGCCTTGTTTTGTGAAGGAAGGTTTTTTTAAAATTTGTGACCATTCTTTAAACTCTTTATTTTTTTGTAAAACTTGTGTGATAAAAATGGTCGACCTTCTAATTTTAAATGCTGTAATTATGATGTAGCTCTCCAGAGAATTAAAAATGTATGCTAAAACTTACACCCTAATGTTAAGTATTTCACAGTAGTAAATTCTTCAGAGCTAATCTAAATACTTTTCTGCAAAATACATTGGTTTAGCACCTTTCTTCTGAATCTCAACATTTTGTACATTATGTACATTATGTACAAAAAGAACTGCTTTAAAAACAAGGCAATGTAAAACGTAGAGCCTAAAAGTCCGCTAAGTCCTATTTCTTGTTCAGCCAATTGCTTAGAAAAACAAGTTTGTTGATGCCAACAGCAGATAATGCTATCCACTTCTTGTTCATGTCACCAGAAAGTGAGTGTGGGTATTTTCATGGCACAGTTGTAGCCTGTGTTACAAGGTGCTTACATGCCAGATGCACTAAAGATTCATATCTCAGTTCTTGCTTCAACCACCATCCCAGAGGATGTACATCCATGCTGATGAGGAGTTCTGCTTGATAACAATCCAAAGCAGTATGGATCAATGCATGTTATCTTCTGACTCAGATGCCATCAACAGAAGGCTATTTTTTTTCTTTTTTGGTGGTTTGAATTCTGTAGTTTCTGCATTGGAATGTTGCTCTTTGAAGACTTTGGAAAGCAAGTTCCATACCTCATCCCTCTCAAATTCTGGAATGCACTTCAGATTCTTAAATCTTGGGTTGAGTACTGTAGCTATCTTTAGAAATCTCACATTGGTACCTCCCTTGTGTTTCATCAAATTTTCAGCAAAAGTATTCTTAAAATAAAACGTATTAAGTCATCATCCTACATTACTAGACCATGAAATATACGGCAGAATGCAGGTAAAATAGAGCCAGACACATACAATTCTCCCCTCCGAAGAATTCAACATGAATTTAATTACATTATTTTTTAATGAGTGCCCTCAGCGTGGAAGCATGTCCTCTGGAATGATGGCCAAAGCATGAAGAAACATGCAAATATTTAGCATATCTGGCCCACAAATATTTTGTAATGCTGCCTACAAAAGTGCCATCTGAATGCCTATTCTCACTTTAAGGTGACATTGTAAACAAGAAGTGGGCAGCTTTATCTCCTGCAAATTGTAACCAAACTTGTTTGTCTTAGCGACTGGCTGAGTAAGAGGTAGGGTTGATTGGGATTATAGGCTCTAGAGTTTTACATTATTTTGGTTTTGAGTGCAATTTTGTAACCAAAAAAATCTACATTGTTAGTTTGCACTGCAATACTTGAATGAGGTGAATTGAAAAATACTGTTTCTTTTGGTTATCATTTTTAAAGTTCAAATATTTGTGGTCAGTTGGTATTCTGATGTTTAACAGTGTGATTAAGAGTGCAATTGTGATTACAGGTAATTTTTGTTAGTTAATCATGTGAATTAACCGTGATTAATCAACAGCCCAATTAATCATAGAGCAATGATTCTTAAACTTATTTGATAGCACCCCCATTCTTTGATAGAACCCCCATACTATACTACGTGTAGTAGTTTGTCCCCACTGCCATGCAAGCACATATACCAATTTAAAAAAATGCAACACTCACTAAATATTCAAAACAGAGAGGCATTTATTCACAGAGAGGCAAACTGCAATGGTTGCAATCAAATATGCACACCTCATTGTAACTAATAGATTAACATACAGATGGCCATTACTTTGTATAATGCTATTTATACTTAACTGAAATCTGTCAAAATGCACAGCCCTGACTAGAGCCAAAAGCACCAAGCCAGCTGATGACCTGATGTATCTGGAGGAATCAACTTTGCTAGGTATTCATTGCTGTGGGTAAACATGCTCAATAACGTTTATTTCCTTAAGCTTCCCATGCCCCCAGAATACATTCTTCATACACACACCCAGGGGTGCCTCTCTCCCCCCAGTTTCAGAGCCTCTGTCATAAAGTCATGTTTTTACGCACACCTCATTGTAACTAATACATTAACATACAGATGACCATCACTTTGTATAATGCTATTTATGCTTAACTGAAATCTGTCAAAATGCACAGCCCTGACTAGAGCCAAAAGCACCAAGCCAGCTGATGACCTGATGTATCTGGAGGAATCAACTTTGCTAGGTATTCATTGCTGTGGGTAAACATGCTCAATAACGTTTATTTCCTTAAGCTTCCCATGCCCCCAGAAAACATTCTTCATACACACACCCATACACACACCCAGGGGTGCCACTCTCCCCCCAGTTTCAGAGCCTCTGTCATAAAGTCATGTTTTGTTAATTTGTTTCTTTTTTCCTGCTCAGGGCTGTAATAAGTGATCCAGAGCAAAGTACAAACACTGGTACTTACCAGAGAGATCATACCTCTGCAGGTCTTGGGACAGCACCATTGCGCTTTAGAAAAAGAACATTACATGAAACAAAGTAAGTTTTTTGTTTTCTTTTGCAGTGCTGGTTGTGGTTTTGAGGTACAAACTTATTCAGCCACTCCTAACTTTAGCAAAATTTGTTCTTTTCAGGCTGAAACTTTTCATGCCTGGTCTTTCTCACTTTTTTCTTTTTTCTTTTGCCTTTTGCCAACCGCAATAAAGTTTATTTCATCCAGTTTTAGAGGTACAAAACCAAGACCAGTGAGGGTATGTCTACACTACAGCACTAATTCAAACTAACTAATTAGTTCGAATTAGTTAATTCGAACTAAGCTAATTCGAATTAGCGCATCTAGATTTAAAAACTAGTTCTAATTAGCATTTTGCTAATTCGAACTAGCATGTCCACACTGAGTGGACCCTGAACCGAGGTTAAGGATGGCCGGAAGCAGTGCTGGCAGGGCATCAGATTAGGACTTAGAGTGTGGAGCTGCTGTCTCAGGCTAGCCGAGGGCTGTGCTTAAA